ATTACTTCAGTAACCAGAGTTCAGTTTCAGGTCCCTTTGAGGACTTACATGCCTGATTTTATTCGCTGTTTGTGAGTATTATTTTATAATTAATAAACTTTGGTTACTGAGGTAATGCGCAAGGTTGGTGCGCTTCTCATTTTTGTCTCCTACCATAGCGTCCCATTTCAAATGGCAATGTATAGTGTGAGCTGACATAGTTTTACCCTGTGCCTGAAGATCAGCTTCAATTTGTCTGGAAGTCCATCAAGGTTCTTTAGCTACCATTCAAACAATCCTTTGTTGCAGTCTTTGATCAATTTTTCTCTTTTGTGCACACCCAGGGAGATTAGCTACTTCTTGCCAATGTTGCGCACAGTGCACACAGAAACATTTGGATCTCTGGAGATGGACTAGTAACCTTGACATTGTCCATGCTTTTTCACAACTTTTGTTCTCAAATCCTCAGACAATACCTTGCTGCTCTATAGTTTCTCCATGCTCCATGTGGCACACAGAGGCACACAACAGAAAGGTTGAGTCAATTTTTCACCATTTTAACTGGTTGCTGGTGACCTGTTAATTGATACAGGTGAGTTTTATTGCAAATTACAGGAGCATCAAAAACTTGGAATGCAATTATTTCTTGCAATTTTGAGAAAGTGCCAATAATTTGTCCAGTCCATTTTTGGGGGTTTTGTGTGGAATGTGTCAGATTTGGCTTTTTGTTTCTCCACTTTTTTGTGTCATACCAATACAAACAAAAGAAATAAACATGAGAATATCTAAACATTTGTAATTGCAATATTTTCTGGGGGATGTGGTACATATGAGTGTGCTTGGATCTGTATATCAAGTCAAAAAAGAAATTCCCTTATCTACAGTATAGTTACAACCTAACATTTAGCTTGTAGCTGCAACAGACGCTTTTCATTGCCCAGTGTTCCTTTCTGAAAAAGAGGTTTCCTTGTGTTTATTTACTGCTTTCATGCTGTAACGTTTAATCAGAGTTTTGTAACTGTATCAAAAGTAGTACAAAAGTCCTGGAATGCTTGTGTGGAAGATTTGTATGGAGCTATTGCAGATGTGAAGATGTGTGGACACAGCTCATCCTGGGAGGTAAGAGATTCCCTACATCAGTCACCGGCTGATAATAATGGATACAATTATCTGCTCAATAGACCACTGGACAAAGCCCTAATAAACTGCTTTCACTGACTAATATAACTGTGAATACTGTTCTAATGGAGGAGTGTAAATCCTCGGAGCTTCCCACATCAGTGAAAGCAGCACAAACTGTTTGAAATAAAGACAATCGGTAAGCTTTGAAAACAACTGTTACAATGATGATAGTCTCCCCAGCACTGACTAAGCCCCTCATTAACCTTCCCAATATTTCCATTTCTTAGAAGCTCTACTCTATAGAGTCTCATGGTTTACACTTTTAGCCCTGGTAAAGAATGAGTACAAAGCCTGCAATGTATTTCTTCTCTGGTAAAGGCAGCATTTTTCTTTTTGTAAAGCATAACTGCTTTTGTTCCTTTTCTGTCCACAAACACAACTTCTTTTGTTCTTCGTAAATTAAGGGTAGAATAATAGATTACAAACCCTACATGTACACTTATGTTTGGAGTACTGTCTTAGTGTACTTTCGGGATGGTTTGTTAAGCTGGGATGGATGCTGCACACTATTTCACTTGTCAAAGAACTTTGTGTTATCTTTTAAGCACCATTCTACTCACATCTGATATGTCAACTCCTTTAGTGGATTTGAGTCTATTGAATCATACTCTATGTTCTGTCTCTCTGGGGGTCTAGAGATTATCTGCACTTCAGTCCCCAGGTTGGATATGAGAATATATATTTGAGAAATAAATAAATGAATAATCAAAAGTTGAGTGATCAATCAACAAGTGGTTTACTCCAATAAAGTAAAACCTAGATGAAGGCTAATAATATTGCAAAATTGCTCTGCACCATGAACAATTGTCCTTTTTACGCCTTTTTCGTTCTATCACTCTTTTTGCCTCTCATTGCTTCTGATCGCCTGCAGCTTCTTTGGAGACACCTTCCATCTATGTGTAACCCTGTGATGACTGAATGTCATTTCTGATGCTGTCGTCAGTTGATTGTGTCTGTATATTGTGCATTAAAACAGCTACTTGAAAATATGCGGTCAATTCACTAAGAGTTAAATAACGACTGAAAAAATGTGGTAAAATAACAAATGTGGTAAATTTTTTGCAAATGTGCAATTCACTAAGAATTTTGCGGTAATTAACTCTTGCAGTAAATTATCTGTATTGCGGTAATTAAGGCATATTTTCATGTGGTATTTTACTGCACGGTAGCTGGTTGTTAAGAAAGCCAGCTGTGGTGTCCTTAACAATGGATAACTGATCAGCTGTCAGCGGGTCCCCCACTGACAGCTGAATGTAAACAAAACATACCAGCAATTACAAATGATAATAAAAACAATGTGGGGCTCCCCCACCTTCCATAAAAGGCCATCGGGGTCTGGTATGGTTTTTAAGGAAAACCCCACACCACAATTTAAAAAAAAAAAATGGCCCTTAGGCCTGGTATGGATTTTGGGGGAATCCCACACCAAAAAAAAAAAAAAAAAGATGGCGTGCAGGTCAGGTGTGACCTATTCAAGTGAACGGGGCCACTCTGCAAATGCCCTGCAACTGTGTGCAATGCATGCGGTTGCAGTGTACTAGTTTAGGCTTCAAGGAGCTATGTCAAGTGGTGAGGAGGTGATAAAACGCCTCCTCACCGCCTGTTTTAACTTTTTGGTTGCTGTACTGCACAAGGTTGCAGGGTGCTTACAGAGCGGCCCCATTCACTTGATTGGGTCATGCTTGGCAGGAGCTTCACCTGTTAAGTGTGACGGGGTTGTTTAATTCCTATTGCTGCTGCAACATGTGTACAACCCCTGGACAGTGGGTGGATTCGGTGGGACAGCCAGTTGGCAGGCATGGAGAATGTTGGTGGTCAGGCCCGTAGGGTCCCAAGCTCAACTATGGGGTTTTATCACCCCCCAAACTGCAAATGTAAATAGGTCCTTACTATCCTGAGACCCCTTTTAGGGGACCCCTGGAATGAGGACAGAGAGGGACCCCTGGGATGGGGACATTGAGGGACCCCTGAGAAGAGGACAGAAAGGGATCCTTGAGATGAGAACAGAGAGGGACCCCTGGGATGAGGACAGAAAAGGGCCCCTGGGATGAGGACAGGGAGGGATCCCTGGCATGAGGACAGAGAGGGCCCCCTGGGATGAGGACAGAGAGGGACACCGTGGGATGAGAACAGAGAGGGGCCCCTGGGATAAGGATAGAGAGAGATTCAGTGGGATGAGGACAGAGAGGGGGCTCTGGGATGAGGACAGAGGGGCCCCTTGAATGAGGACAGAGGGGCACCTGGGATGAGGACAGAGAGGGACCTGTGGGATGAGGGCAGATAGGGAACCTTCTCACATGTTCCATGCCCATTGCCCCTTTGTGGCAGGTGGCATCTCTTTGATTTGGGGGAGAGGAGGATGTCTTGAGGGGGCTTTGGGAGGGGCGAAGACTTGTGATAGTGGGGGGGGGGGGGCAGATTTGTAACCCCCCATCCAACCTACCTCTCCCCTCTGAAAACACCCCCAGCATATTTCTTTTTACCACTTCCATCACTCCTCCATGTGTGCATCCCTGTTAGCTGCACCCCTTCCCTGTTACTGTGTCCCCCTCCTCTGTATCCATGCACTATACACAGTCCTCAGATCAGCATGGCTCTTGCAGTGCATCCCCCCGGCTCCTCCCCTCCTGTCTGTATTGCACCAAACCCAGGAGCCAGGGTCTTAAATAGTCTCTGCCACACCTAAGATGGGTGCACAGTCACATGGGCGGCCAGCATCCAACCAGATCACTGCCACAGTGACTCAGGAACCCATAGAGGAACCATGTTCCTCCTGACTTCCTCTCCTTTTGCTCTGCTGCCGAGGATGAGTGACACCTGCAGTGCAGAAAACACACTGCGCCTGTTTACACTCACATACAGGTGCAAGACCCTTTAACATCTTTTCCCACATTTCCCTGGGTTTCTGGACACACCCAGGAAAGATGGTTTTTTCTGCTTTCTGCTTTCTACTAACATTTATAGGTAAAGTTGATCCTGGGAATATTCAATTGCCTCTCGGGGGTTCAGGAAGGAATTTTTCCCCCTGCAGGAGCAAATAGCATCATGCTTTGCTGGGTTTTTTGCCTTTCTCTGGATCAACTGTGGGTATAGGATAACTTTTTAATTTTTTTTATTGATTGGTTGAACTAGATGGACTTTTGTCTGTTTTCAGCCAGACTAACTATGCTTCTTTCCCTTGGCAGCTCAGAAATGCCACACCTGATGAGGCAGAGGTAGCTGGGCAAGTGATCTGTAGCCATGTGAGCAGCCCTCTGCTGTCAGAACTAAAGCTACACAGGGCCTAATAGCATGCAGAGTCTTAGGGAGACCAAGCTAATGTGCAAAGCTTCTCGCCAATTGCTACAACAGTACTATAGTTTCAGTGGAGTGCCCCTCCTATGTCTTCAAGCCTTGGATGCCTAAAGCTACGTTACCAGAGCTACTCTGGACACTACTGAAAGGGATGTTGTTTATGAGGATAGGAGAAAGTAAATGTTTGTGTTCTGAACTGTTTTACTGAATTAGAGATTCTCAGCTAGACTCTCTGTTGTTATAGAGTCTTACAAAGACTATTCTATGTAGCTGCATGTTACCCTGATTGACCCACAGAGACATTGCTGTGAATGTTTGTGCAGCTTTCATAATCTGTTTTGTATTGTTCTGCAGTATGGATTTTTTTAACCATTTAGCCTGTTTAGCATATTTTATTTTATTTTTGCGCCTGCTAGTGTACAGCAAGTTACAATTACTCTTCTATCATTCGGCGCAATGTTACAACCATCCTGTTACAACACAGAGGAAACCTTTGAATATCTTTAAGAAGACAATTATTACCATATCTATAACTCAAAGTGCAGTGGGTGGTTAATGAGAAGAATGCTACTTGGATTGGTGGTCAGTGGGAATAATGTTCCTTGGATTGGTGGTCAGTGGGTGGAATGTTTCTAACATTGGTGGTCAGTGGGAAGAATGCTCTTTACATTGGTGGTCAGTGGGAAGAATACTCCTTACATTGGTGTTCAGTGGAAAGAATGCTCCTTACATTGGTGATAATTGGGAAGAATATTTCTTACATTCTTACACAGGCAGCACAGTGGCTAAATGGTTAGCACTTCCGCCTGGCAGTACTAGGGTCGTTGGTTCGATTCCCAGCCACGTCACCTCTTGCCTGGAGTTTGCATGTTCTCCCTGTGCCTGCGTGGGTTTCCTCTGGGTACTTTGGTTTCCTCCCACACTCCAAAGACAGGCTGGTAAGTGAATTGGATCCTGTCTAAATTGTCCCTAGTATGTATGAATGTAATCTACGGACCTTAGATTGTACACCCTTGAGGGTTAGGGACTGATGTGAATGTATAATATGTACAGTTGTGACCAAAATTATTCAACCCCCAATGCTGTAAAGGGGTTTAGGGACTATAGTGTACATTTGGAATTGTATTCAGAATCAAATCCTACAAGGACGTTGTAACTACCCAAATGCAACTAAAATGACATCAATTGTTTATGTAATACAGTAGTAAATGGTTCTTATGTGGTTTCTTCATTGCCACAATTATTCAACCCCTTAAAGACTACCACTCTGAAGAACAGAGGTTCATACAGGTGCTTTCCATCAGGTATTGAAAACACCTGTGGATGTCACCGAGCAGCAATCAAGCATAATAAGCACCAATTAGGCAGCTTTAAAATGACTGTGATACTCAGCTCCTTCTAGACATTTACTGGTGTGGTTACAAACATGGTGAAGGCAAGAGAATGGTCCAGGAAGACAAGAGAAGAGGTGATTTCTCTTCACAGGAAGGGCAATGGCTATAAGAAGATTGCAAAGATGTTAAACATACCAAGAGACACCTTAGGAAGCATCATTCGCAAATTCAAGGCAAAGGGCACTGTTGAAACGCTACCTGGTCGTGGCAGAAAGAAGATGCTGACTTCGACTGCTGTGCGCTACCTGAAGCGTAGAGTGGAGAGAAGTCCCCGTGTGACTGCTGAGGAACTGAGAAAAGATTTGTCAGATGTGGGTACAGAAGTTTCAGCCCAGACAATAAGACGCACACTGCGTAATGAAGGCCTCCGTGCCAGAACTCCCAGGCGTACCCCCTTGCTGTCTCCAAAGAATAAGAAGAGTCGACTGCAGTATGCCAAAAGCCATGTGGACAAACCACAAAAGTTGTGGGATAGTGTTCTGTGGACTGATGAAACAAAATTAGAACTGTTTGGGCCCATGGATCAACGCTATGTTTGGAGGAGGAAGAACAAGGCCTATGATGAAAAGAACACCTTGCCTACTGTGAAGCATGGTGGAGGGTCAATCATGCTTTGGGGCTGTTTTGCTTCTGCAGGTACAGGGAAGCTTCAGCGTGTGCAAGGTACCATGAATTCTCTTCAGTACCAGGAGATATTGGATGGAAACGTGATGCAGTCCGTCACACACCTGAGGCTTGGGAGACGTTGGACCTTTCAACAGGACAATGATCCCAAGCATACCTCCAAGTCCACTAGAGCATGGTTGCAGAGGAAAGGCTGGAACATTTTGGAGTGGCCATCGCAGTCACCAGACTTAAATCCGATTGAGAACCTCTGGTGGGACTTAAAGAAAGCAGTTGCAGTGCGCAAGCCTAAGAATGTGACTGAACTGGAGGCCTTTGCCCATGAAGAATGGGCGAAGATACCCGTAGATCGCTGCAAGACACTTGTGTCAAGCTATGCTTCACGTTTAAAAGCTGTTATAACTGTAAAAGGATGCTGTACTAAGTACTAAGATTGAATGTCACTTGGGGGTTGAATAAAACTGATAATGCTGTGAGCACAGAAAAGACATTTGTGGTTATTTCATTATAACTGTTATGTTATATTTGTCTGACCTACAAGTGCCTCTTTAATGTAAATGTAAGCAAGATGACTGAATGATCAAAAGCAATGTCAAACTGGCCAAAACACTCAATTTCAGTGGGGGTTGAATAATTTTGGTCACAACTGTATGTAAAGCACTGCGTAAATTGACAGCGCTATATAAGTACCTGAAATAAATAAATAATACATTGGTGGTCAGTGGGAAGAAAGCTCAATACATTGGTGATAATTGGGAAGAATACTCCTTACATTGATAGTCAGTGGGAAGACTGTTCCTTACATTGGGGGTCATTGGGAAGAATGCTTCTTACATTGGTGGTCAGTGGGAAGAAAGCTCCTTACACTGGTGATCATTGGGATGAATGCTCCTTACATTGGTGATCATTGGGAAGAATGCTCCTTGCATTAGTGATTATTGGGAAGAATGTTCCTTACATTGGTGGTTAGTGGAATCAATGTGTCCCCTAAAGATAGCTACATAGATTGGTGTCAATTATTACATATCTGGGATGCAGAAATTACTCACTTCTCAAAGAACCCCTAAAAACTGCTGGAGGTAGACATATTAAAATCACCATATCATGATTCTATCTTGCTACTGTTGGAGATTCCCCCTCAAGCCCTGTCTCAAAAGGCAACCTTGCCATTGAGGGAGGAAGAGAAGGAAAATCCCCCCAATGGACCTCAGATATCAGTAATAACCTCAAAGGGGATTTTAAACCTTCCCCTTGCTATCCTAAAATAAAGATATACATTTTGCAAGGTTACCTTTAAATGCATTAGCCTGCTGATGAAGACTGGTTGGGGGGGGGGGGGGATACTGAGCTCTGATATGTTTCAATGACTGTTGCATTTAAGTGAAGTGTATGGAACGTTTGTATATGTGCTCAGTGTAGCTGTCTCACCCCTGTATGAACTCCCCTTACAGTATGCTGTGCGCAGTAGAGGGCTTCTCACTAGCTTCCCTGAACTTCCCTCCAATGTGTTTGCTTTGGCAGCTTCCAAGGGAGTCCAAACATCTCTTTCATTTAGATCAGAAATACACAAAAACGTGGCAATATAAAAAGAAACCATGCTTGCCACTAAACATACAGATTCATATTCATTATACAGATTCTTATCCCACTCCTTGTCTTGCTCTTTATGGCTGGATTCACACAGGAATCAAAAGGAGGCACTTGGCAGGTGCTTTGACCCTATCCAAAATATCACAAGCCCACCATGTTCAAATAAAAAGACAGGACACTTTTATTATCACAAAAAAAAAACATGCCGTTTTGAGGCTGCTAAGGAATTCTTTATCATTCTCAATCAGGCAGCAGTGACGGTGAATGCATGAGCCACCATTTCACCGCAGCACTCTTTTATATGTATAAAAGTCTGATTGCTGTATAGAGTATGCTGCATTTTGTTTGTATTTTTGACTCTACCAAACACTTCCTTAACAAAGGTACTGGAATAAAGAACTAGGCCGAACAGCTCAGTTTTAGGGACAAACTAAAGTTTTTATGTTCCCCAACATTTTACTGAAAATCTGTGAAATTTGAACTTTTGGTGAATTTCTGTTGAGGGAAGGTGAAATTAAGGTTGTTTTTTGGTGGTTTTTAAGTATGCAGTATTCTACAAATGGCTTCTGAGGGTGACAAAAGCTCTGTTTTTGTACGAACAAGTGGTCCCTCATTAGTCTTATTATTTTAATTTTTTTTTCACAGAAAGAAAAAAACAGACAGCAAAAAAAAAGTAGTTTAAACAATTCGAAGTGGCATCACAAAAATAATAATCAAATACATAAAAATGGGAAAAAACATATATAGGATACAAAATGAAATAAACCCCTAACAGGAACCACATGAACTAAATATAGAAACAAAGGGTGTGAATAATGTTTTTCCAAGCAAATTCTCCTGAGCAACTGAAATTTCCCGTAGAATGCAGTCATTTTGTTGTGAAATCAACATATTCAAAATCACTTTGCTAATCCCTACTTGGTTTACACATGCATGATACGTGCAGTGCAGCTGGTTACTCTACAGCATCCAACTTCATCCAGTCTAGATCCAATCTGAAACTATCTCTAGACCTGAAATGATAGACAGTCCTGTAAAAATGAACATATTACTCCAATTCTCATTTTTATTTTTGGAGAACATAGATAGGATTGAGGAAATTAGGTGGGATAGCCAAAAAAAAAAGAACTATATACAACATGAGGACTTAGGTATTCTTCAGAACAAGCTATATTAAAGTCTGTGCTTGTAGCAAACAGTAGACTTCAGCTTTAAGGTAGTTGTAGTAGTAGTAGTAGTAGTAGTAGTAGTTAACTGTAAATCTCTAACTTAGAGCCACAAGAGCAGAGTTCCTTTAACCTCTTGGCACCGGCGCCTCCCAGCCCTTTAAGAGTTTCAAAGCCGGGAGGAGGGTCGGGGTTTTAGGGTCATGTGACTGCTGTGATTCGCCGTCACAGCGGTCACATGATCGGAAAGGTCCCGATCGAAAGGGGAGATCGGGACCTTTCCGGGAGTAGCGGACATATGTGCTGACAGTGTGCAGGGTGTGCACTCTCAGCACATATGTATTTTTTAATTGCACGCAAATATGTGGCCACTCGGCGTCAAGGGGTTAAGTAGATTAGATAGTCAAAGCTCTTCAGGACACCAGCTGGTGTCCCCTTTAACTAGACCCACAGCTGACTCTGTGAGCACCAGAGGGGTGGCAAAGCACAAAGATCCTCAAGATCACTTAGAAGCTCCTGTACTCAGACAAGGCCCAAGGTCAGCTGATTGCCTCCTTCCAACTTCCAAGTGACACCTTACTCTGGTGATACCATATCAGATCTTCAGCAGACAGCACCCCCTCAGTCAGCTCTCTTTAGTTCCAGGGTTTCAGCATCCAGGCCCCCAAGTCACCCCTCTGCGGTCTCATGACAGCAGACATTTCAGCATTGCCTGGAAGGGCAGCATGCCCCCTCCAATCACAGCCACACTGACTACAATGTGGTAACTCAATCTACCTATCAAAACACATACTAAGTCTAACTATCTAAACCTACTAATTATCTTGGAGGGTGCTTCATCAAAAATAGATATGCACAATCATTTTGGCCCTGCAGACATTTCTAGAATTAACTTTATTACAAAGAAAAACTGTAGCAGTTTTCCCAGATGAATGACCTAGTGGGACTGGTGAGATAAGTCCTGCCTGCAAAGATTGAAGATTGAAGTCCAATATGATCATTTCCAGATACAACCACTCTCTGCCAGTTCAGGTGACAACCATTTCATGGCATCTGAGGCCCAAGGCAGTGGTTACAACATCCTAACAAAGATCTTCAAGTGTATCTTTTCCTCATTTTGCACATTCAGTAGAAGGAGTTTTGAAATATTTACAACAGCAATGAGTTTTTCTTCAGTTTTTTTCAGTATTTGGTTGAAGGTTTCTAAATACTCTACAGCAGGGGTCCTCAAACTTTTTAAACAGGGGGCCAGTTCACTGTCCCTCAGATCGTTGGAGGGCCGGACTATAGTTTAAAAACAAAAAACTATGAACAAATGAGGACACAGTACAGGAGATAACCAGAAACTGCGGACATACAACGGCGGTGGGAATACTGGGCCGGCCGCTCCATAAGACGCACAGACATTTCCCCCCAAGTGTGTCTTATGGAGCGAAATAGTGCCCCATCATTGGTGTCAGTGGCAGGAATAGTGCCCCATCATTGGTGTCAGTGGGAAGAAACGTGCCCCATCATTGGTGTCAGTGGGAGGAATAGTGCCCCATCATTGGTGTCAGTGGGAAGAATCTTGCCCCATCATTGGTATCAGTGGGAGGAATAGTGCCCCATCATTGGTGTCAGTGGGAGGAATAGTGCCCCATCATTAGTGTCAGTAGGGGGAGGAATAGTGCCCCATTGTTGGTGTCAGTGGGGGGGGAATAGTGCCCCATCATTGGTGTCAGTGTGGGGGGGGGTAATAGTGCCCCGTCATTGGTGTCAGTGGGGGAAGGGGATAGTGTCCCAACATTGGTGTCAGTGGGAGGAATAGTGTCCCATCATTGGTGTCAGTGGGAGGGATAGTATCCCATCATTGGTGTAAGTGGGAGGAATAGTGTCCCATCATTGGTGTCAGCGGGAGGAATAGTGCCCCATCTTTGGTGTCAGTGGGAGGAATAGTACGTCATTGGAGTCAGTGGGGGGGAATAGTGCCCTGTCATTGGTGTCAGTGGGGGGGATAGTGTCCCAACATTGGTGTCAGTGGGAGGAATAGTACCCCATCATTGGTGTCAGTGGGGGAAGGAATAGTGTTCCATCATTGGTATCAGTGGGGGGTGGAATAGTGCCCCATCGTTGTTGTCAGTGGGAGGAATAGTGTCCCATCATTGGTGTCAGTGGGAGGGATAGTGTCCCATCATTGGTGTCAGTGGGAGGAATAGTGTCCCATCATTGGTGTCAGTGGGAGGAATAGTGCCCCATCTTTGGTGTCAGTGGGAGGAATAGTACGTCATTGGAGTCAGTGGGGGGGAATAGTGCCCTGTCATTGGTGTCAGTGGGGGGGATAGTGTCCCAACATTGTTGTCAGTGGGAGGAATAGTGCCCCATCATTGGTGTCAGTGGGAAGAATCTTGCCCCACCATTGGTGTCAGTGGGAGGAATAGTGCCCCATCATTAGTGTCAGTGGGGGGGGAGAAATAGTGCCCCATTGTTGGTGTCAGTGGGGGATGAATAGTGCCCCTTCATTGGTGTGAGTGTGGGGAGGGGTAATAGTGCCCCGTCATTGGTGTCAGTGGGGGAAGGGGATAGTGTCCCAACATTGGTGTCAGTGGGAGGAATAGTGTCCCATCATTGGTGTCAGTGGGAGGAATAGTGTCCCATCATTGGTGTCAGTGGGAGGAATAGTGCCCCATCTTTGGTGTCAGTGGGAGGAATAGTACGTCATTGGAGTCAGTGGGGGGGAATAGTGCCCTGTCATTGGTGTCAGTGGGGGGGATAGTGTCCCAACATTGGTGTCAGTGGGAGGAATAGTACCCCATCATTGGTGTCAGTGGGGGAAGGAATAGTGTTCCATCATTGGTATCAGTGGGGGGTGGAATAGTGCCCCATCGTTGGTGTCAGTGGGGGGGGGAATAGTACCCCATCGTTGGTGTCAGTGGGGGGAGGAATAGTGCCCCATCATTGGTGTCAGTGGGAGGAATAATGCCCCATCATTGGTGTCAGTGGGAGGAATAATGCCCCATCATTGGTATCAGTGACACCAATGATGGGGCACTATTCCTCCCACTGACACCAATGACACTTAACCTGCTGACCCCTGCTCCAGCATGGTGCTGCTGCAGCCAGCATACCTGGTTGCAGCAGCACCATCAGCACGGCACACTTACCTGTCAGCTGTCCTTCTTCACTCCAGCCTCTCCCTCACTCGATGTTAGCGGGGCCGCTCAGCTCTGCCT